CACGATACAGCCTTGGGGGAAAACCACCACCCCAAACAATCAAGCAAGAACAAAATTAACTCAAGTCAGCTGCAGAATTAGCAGCATTAAAAGTGACATTCCCTAGCTGCCGGGACTGTGTTTGAACTGGGTTTAAAGCTGATGCAATAACAACTTCCAGGCCGCTGGAAGTAGGACAGCGTGACGGGTGACAGCGCTAGCTGGCTGCGCCTTCAGTGCCACAAAACAGCCAGGCAAAATAGCAGTGTCCTCAATCTGCCCAGAAAAACACCCCAGGACATCTCACCACCCTGGGAAGCTTCTGCTTTAGCACCTCCAGGATTTCCCCACATGAGGTCACAGGGTGTCACCTGAGCAGAGGTGTCCCCGTGAGCCAGGTCACAGCACGAGGAAGTGAGTCCTCCACAGTGTCCCAGCCCCAGAGGTGGCTCCTGGGCCACCACCACATCGCCAGGACCCAACTGAGGGGACCAGCAGCCACCCTCCCTCCTTGCACACCTAATGATGGGGCCTTGGCACGGGATGTCCTTGGAAGTCGGACAGGGAGGAGACAGAGCTTGGGGTGGTCTGAGTGGTGGGACAGCACAAGGGCTGGGGGTGGCATTAGCTGTTTGATGGGGGTGGCACAAGGAGTTGGGGCATACTCTGCTCTGTGGCGACACGGGGTGCTCCTGGGTGCACGATGGGGACATCCTGGGGACACCATCAGATCCCCTGCTGTGCCACAGGACTGGGTGCATCAGCTGTGTAGCAGGGATGGCACAGGGGCTTGGGATCGCCTTAGCAGTGGCACGGCATGGGGACACGGGGACCGAGTGGCACGGGATGCCATGGGCACGGCACGGGAGCACAGGACAGGCAGCGCGAGGGCTGGGGATGCCCTCGGCCGCGAAGCGGCTCAGGACGCCCTTGACCATGCGATGGGGACAGCGCAGGGGGTCTCGGGGCTCCCTCGCCGCTGGGGCGCGGGGTGGGGACGGCTCCCCCTCGGCCGCCCCGCGGCACCCACCTGCCGAGGAAGCGTCCTCCGCGTCGGAGCTGCCGCCGCTGCCTCGCTCGGGGGAGCTGCCGGCGGGGCGGGGGGCGGCGGGCGGCGGCGGCGGGAGGGGGGCGCGGGCCAGCGCCGCCTCCAGGTAGCCCACCTTGAACCGCTCCTCGGCCAGCGCCCGCTGCAGGCGGCGCAGGTGGCGGCGGCAGCGCTCCAGCTCCCGCTCCATGGCCCGCACCGAGCCCAGCTCCATGCGGGGCGCCGGCTCCCCCGGGAACTCCGCCTGCCAGTGCCGCGCGAAGTCCGCCCGGGCCGCCTCGCCCGCCGCCATCCCCCCGCCCCGCACCCGAGATTTTTCCCCCTCCCTCCCTCCGGCACCGCCGCCGCCGCCGCCTTCCGCCCCCCGCCGCCGCCGCGGGGCCTGACGTCGCTGCCCGCCCCCGGCCCGCCCCGCCTCGGCTCGGCCCCGCCGGGGCGGGGTCAGCGCTGCCACCGCCCCCCGGCCCCGCTCCGGCTGCGGCCCGCGGCGGGAGCTGCGGGATGGGATGGGGTGGATGGGGTGGAGGGACGCGCACCCCACTGCTCCGACCCTGAGTCCCTCCGCCCCCGGGTCTCCTCGAGAAGCTGCGGGCCGGGGGATGCGGGCGAGGGAGTGCCCGGTGCCGGCAGCGTTAGAGCAGTAACAACATGATAGCTAGTGCCAGAATCCATCCCACGCGCTGCGAGGGATCCCCGAGCTAGGAACAACGGAGCCTTGAAGGCACGGGGTGGCTACTGTGCCATGGGGTGGTTACTGTGCCCCCACCGAGCTGCCCTTCCCCAGCCACTGCATGCCCTGGTCTTCACTGTGGAGCTCTGCCCAGTCTCCTGGCCACCCTGGTCCTCTGGCCTGTGAAACTCTGCCTGCCCTGTTGGTCTCAGGATGGATGGGCCATTCCCAGCAGATGGAGGGGCAGGCACAAGCTCCTGGGGTGGGCAACAGAGTTCTACAACTCCCTGAAAGGAGGGTGTAGCCAGGTGGGGTTGGTCTCTACTCACAAGTAGCAAGTGATAGGACAAGAGAAAATGGCCTAAACCTGTGTCAGTGGAGGTTTAAATTGGATACACAGAACTATTCTGTGATTCCATGAAGGCCCACGTAAAGCCTTTGTGCCCACTCTGCCACACGCTGTGTTTAAGCTGCCAGAGCAGCACGTGCCCATGGCTCACTCACACCTAAACAGACAGGGCTTTCCAACTTTTGCCCTGGGCGGGGCTGTTTCCCTGTGCCATGCAAGGTGCTGGAGGACAGGACCTCCCCAGGGCGGAGGCAGGAGCCTCCAGGCAGCCTGGCCTCAGAGCACTGCCTTTCCCTGCCTCCTGTGACCTGCAGGATGTCGGGCTGTGGATGGATGACTCACCAGCCGCGTCCCTTGTGCCACCTGGCCGTGCCCCAGCAGGAACAAAGCGCCCTATTTATTTACCCACGGGGCCCAGAGTGTGTCACAACAGCCGCCTCCTCCTTCCCCTCCATCACCAGGGGCGGGCACCTCCCTGCACCCAATCCCTGGCTCCCACGCTGCTCTGCCGCAGGGTCCCTTGCTTCACTCTGGCGCATCCATGCCTCCCAGTGCAGCCTTCCCAAGGAAGATGGATGGTGCTGGGACACTGCCAGGAGCTGGGCAGCCCCCCCAGGCCGTGTCAGCTGCCTCCTCACCCCATCAGGGTTTTACCTCCAGTGAGGGCTGTGCTCCCAGATGGCCCCGGCAGCTCTCACCTGGAAGCAGGAGTGGTTTGGGGGTGCTGGATGGGTGTGGGAGAGGGGCAGCCAGTCCAGGGCTCTTTGCAGGAGTTAAGGCCCCGCTCAGCAGCAGTGCTGGGGCAAAGACACCCAGAACACACCTTTGGGCTGCGGGACCCATGAGAGCTGTGAAAATACTGGGAGGTACCCAGCACTCAGCAGTGCCCCAGTCCAGTGTGACACAGGTGGGGTGTCCCTGGGGGCCAAACCACTTCTTAGAGGCTGGGGAGGAGGACAGGGATGCCATGAGTGGCCTGATTTATGTGTGGCGACAGATAATTACGGCTCTTTCATCATCTGTCAGGCAAATGCGCCCAGCAGAGCCCTACAACGTGTTTCTGGTTCCCCATCTCAGCCCATAAATCTCGCCAGCACAAGGTGATAAATCAGCAGGGACCGGGGGAGCAGGGCCTGGGTGGGCGTTCCTGCTGACCTCCCACCCTGTAATGGGCACCTAGGTAGGAAGCGACCAGGACGAGGTGGGGATGGCCCAGCGGGATGCACTAATTACAGGTGGCATCCAGGGCCCCATGATTTATACTCTGGTCTTGCCCGCTTCCAGGAGCTGGGCCTGGATCCCTGCAGCCAGGGCTGCCCAGAGCTGAGACACTGAGAACCCCTGGCAGCTCTCCCCAGCCAGCTCCTGGGGCTGCGGGTAGGATGGGGGCAGCTTTGGGACTGCTGCTTCTGCCCCTCCCTCTGCCCAAGCATCACCCGGCTGGGACTGGCTTTGTGCCCAGCTCAGCCTCCTCCGTGTCTGTTCTGTACTGCACCTCCTGACCTCACACACCAGCAAAAACATTCCCGTGGCAAGGATCTGTGCTGCTTAGCTGGGTTTTAGACAGGCACATCTCTAAGTGGGTCTGACATCCATGTCCTGCTGGCATTCAAGCATCCTGAAGATCCCCTTGCTCCTGAGCTGAGCTCACCAGGTAAGTCAGTGGTCAGGGAGCCTCCACTCCTGGGCAGAGCAAGACTGGGTGGTGAGAAGGATGCTGGAGAGAACAAGAGGGCCATAGTGAGCACAGGTGAGCGCTTAAAAATATTTGCAAGCTTCACCTCCCTTTGAAGTCCTGATGCCTCAACCTCCCCTCTCCCTGAGGCCCTGGCTCCTGATTTATTGGGTTCCTGGAGGAGAGGCACCTAAATTAGCTCAGGCTTCAAAGAGCCAAGAGAGGAGACGGGCAATAGACAAATAACCCCCCGCTAATTGTGGCTATTGATCAAACATGAGCCAGGACGATCAGATAGGAAGGGATGGATCAAGGGGGGCACATTCTCCAGGGGCTCTGCTTTCGCGCCAGTCACCCCAACAATTTGTCAGACCCGCTCCTGGGCTGTTTTTCAAAGCATTACCTGTCGCACAGGAAGGCATTTAGTGACTGCTTGCTAATGAGATGATGGGCAAACACACATAGCTGTCCCTCACTGCTCTGAGGGTGGGGACCTGGCTCTGCCCATGGCCTCCGGACCTGCTGCACCTGGGAAGTCCTTCGTCCCACCAGCTTGTGGATTCAGGAAACAAGGAGCTCCTTTCAGCGTCGTTTTCCCCAAGTAAGTGCTGGGCAGGCCCGTCAGCCCAGACAGCTCTGCCCCCAGGCTCCTGCTCTGCTGTGAAGGGACAGGAAGGCTCTGGATGCAGGTAGCACTTTAGCTCTTTTATCACCTGCCCCAATCCCCCCTGACACATTCCTGCTTCCTGCTCCGCAGGGCAGAGGCATGCCAAGCCCTGCACATTCCTGTACGGATCCCTGACTCCCAGGGGCTGCTCCTTCCCAGGCACCCACCTACCTCAGTGCCCACGGATGCTCCTGGCTCACTGGGGTGCAGCTGTGTGGAGCCTCCAGCCCCAGTCCTGGGCCAGGAGTAATTTTGCCTTCTCCTGCACTCAGCCACAAGACTTGCTCCTCTCTCAGCAGTGTCATCGTTCCGTGCCTCAGTTTCTCTTAGCTGGGAAGTAACAGAGATGCTGTGGCACCCATGAGCTGGGGGGAAAGAAGAGCCAGGATGGTGATGCCCCACGGGGTTCTGCGTCACAGCACCATATAAAACCCAGGGGTGACCTGGCTCAGGCTGAGCCGCCAGCCCACCCAGTGGAGGAGAGAGCAGAGCAGCACAGGGGAACTCCTGCAGCACCCAAATTCTTAGCAGAGACTAAAGCAACCACTGCAACACGTGCTGGGGCCTTTGAGCATCTCACTGCAAGCTCCGGGCACCCCAGCACTGATGCCCCATGCTCCAGCCTGGCACCACATGCTCAGGAGCATCCCCAGGGGCAGGAACCAGGCAGGAGTCGCCCTGTGACTCTCTGCAAAGCCACACCTGCGGCAGGTGAGGAGGGTCAGGGGAGCCACGTGACGAGCCCTGTGGTGGGGTTTTTAGAGGCGGCTGTGTGTCCCTGGAGGAGTGTCTCCCACACCTCCCAGGAGGCAGAACCACAGCAGCACCTCTCCTGTTCCCCCTCGCCGCTGCCATGTCCAGAGTAGCCGTGGGGAAAGGCACAGAGCCAGAGCCAGACAGCTCAGAGGAGGAGCTGGAAGCGGGGGGCACACCCCAGGCATGCTGTGGGCAGAGTCTCTGGGTCCCCCAGGGCAGGGAAGCAGCGGCCTGCCTGGGGGACACTGAAGGGATGAAGGTGAGGAAGAGGAGCAGGCCGGTGCGCTCCAAGGCCAGGAGGATGGCTGCCAACGTCAGAGAGCGTAAGAGGATTCTGGACTACAACCAAGCCTTCAACGCCCTGCGCCTGGCCCTCAAGCATGACCTCGGTGGCAAAAGGCTTTCTAAAATCGCCACCCTCCGGCGAGCCATCAACAGGATCGCGGCTCTGTCCCTGTCCCTGCACGGCGCCGGGTGCTGCTGGCCCTGTGCCCACTCCGAGTGCCACGGCCGGGCTGGGGTCCCTGCGCAGGAGCCAGGGGGGAAGGGCAGCCGCCCCCAGCTTCCCTGGGGGCCCGGTTCTGCAGGCACACGCTGCCCTCCGTCTCCTCTCTGTGCTGAGTTTTCCCCTCAGAGGCAGCTCCATCACTACGAGAGCCCGAAGGAGGATCACTCCATGCCCAGCCCTGCCTGTTGCTCCAGCGGGATCTCCCACCCTGCGCTCCGGGGCACCTGCCAGCAGCGATACATGGGCAGCCTGCAGGACCCCCTGGCCGGGGCAGTCCCCTGGCAGCTGGGCTATTGCCAGAGCTGGGGACACCAGCAGTGCCTCCCCATCCACTGACCTGCGGGGCTGGGGTGGCAAGATGGTGCCAGGAAGGTAATGGATCCATGGGACAAGTGGGGGGAGCGGGAAGGGAGTGCTGGGTAAGAGAGAAGCGCTGCACGATGTGGAGCTTGGCTGCAGTGCTGCTGAGAGCTGGGAACCCCCAACAAGCTGTACTGGACCCCAGCGCTGCCCAGGTCTCTGCTCTGTGGGAAAACTGTGGAATGTAGGAAGTCCTGTGGAAGTGCCAGCTCTCTGTTTCTTGTTGTGAGTTCTCACTGTTGCTGATTGCCACTGTTATTTATTCTCTCTTGCTTGCTCTGTGAGAAAATACGAATTACAAACCCAGCACCAGGGCACTGGCTCTTAATATGTGTGGGATGGACAGATGGGCCGTGGGGATCATGCTAAAGCCCCTGGCTGGCTGGTCACTCTGGCTCCCATCGGTGAAGGAGGGGAGCAGGAGCAGGGAAAGGTTAGTGCCCTGGGACTTCTGATGCTAAGCTCATTGGTACAGACGTTTGTGCCTGGCAGATTTGCGAGGCCGGGAGGGGAGACAGATGTCGGCTTTCATAAAACCCACCCATCCAATTGCAGTTTCCTCCTGATCACAGTGAAGTGGCTCTGGTGGGACAGGCCAGTAGCACGTTCCTTGCCGGCCCCCAAGGCAGGGAGGAAGGGGGAATTTTACTAGAAAGGTCCCTTTTGTCCCTTCCCTCTGGCTTAGAGAGCTTGGACCAGCTGGGAGGGCTCCCTTCCACCCAAGGCTCAGCAAACTGGAATCGCTGCAGGAATCAGGAAGGGATTTACAGCCACACTTACCACAGCTGGCAGATTTTTGGATTGGGCCAATTGCACTGTGTGATTCCCGCAGTGCTGAGCCCCACAGAGCTCCCCCAGCCCCACTGCTCCCACCCCAGTGCTCCCAGCATGGCTGCCAACATACCAAGGGCAGTCTGAGCTCCTTCCCTGCCGAGGAGCACGTGCTGGAACAACCATCTCAACCCTCTGCTGTTGTGTGCCAGGCCCTCCCCAGGGTCTCCTCCTCCTTCCTTAATCCCCAGTGGGACAAGGGAGCTGGGCTGGGAGCAGGGGAAAGCTGGCAGCAGCCAGGAGAGAGAGCTCTTTGCTCAGCAAAGGAGCCTCTTTAAAGTGCTGATGGTATGAGGCATCTTGGCTTCAGTCTCTGACAGGTGTTCCCTTTGCCAGAAGAAGGCCTGCAGCCCTGTCCACGGAAGGAATCCTGCTTCTCCCAACAGCATCCCTGCCCTGGGTGCTCTCCCTGCTCTGGCTCTCCGTGGAGCAGCACAGAGCCCTGCTCTGCCTGTCAGCAGCCATCACCCAGGGGGTGAGAGCCCAGCAACACCAGCATTCAGGGAAGGTTTAAGTGACACCCTAACTCAGACAGGAACCCCTCCCTCCTCACAGATTTGCATCTCCATGTTTTTCCCCCACCAGCTTTGGTGACCAGCTGAAGTGAGAGATGGAAACAGCTGGTCACAGAGGCAGAGGGGGATGCAAAACCTCACAAGACCCTCCCAGAGCTGGGTCACCCCACTGCGTTACAAAACGCAAGTCCTAATTCTACCTGGAGGCTGCAGGATGGAATAAGGCTCTGGGCAGGGCTGGGCAGCAGGTCCTGGCTGGCATCAGGCTCTGTGGGCACCTCTCAGGGAGGCAGAAGGTGCTGGGTGTGCCCTGTAGATGGCACTGACCCAGGGCAGCCCCAGCCCAGCTCTGCAGCGATGAGGGGCATTGTGAGGGTCTGCTCTGTGCCGCACGCCCCCCACCTACCTGGGAAAGGGTTTTCAGCCAGGAGGGAGGCAGGGGCAGCAGGGCTGTGTGCACCCAGCACGGACTCACCCTCGGCACCCTCCGCGCCGCCGGGGCTGGAGGTGGCCCCGACCCCGCCGGCACAGGCGGAGCCCGACCGGGGCTGAGCTCTCACGTACCGCTGCAGCGGAGTGGAGCCCGTGGGAGCCCCCGGGAAGAGCGGGGGGTCGGTGGGGCGGGACAGAGCCCGGGGCTGGGCGGGTTGGAGGCGGCGGGGACACCCCTGCTCTCCCACCGCTCCGCTCCGCCCCGCCGCATCCCCGCCAGCATCCCGGGGGGGCCGCGGCGCCGCCCGCACCGGGACGGGCGGAGGCTGAGCGCGGCCCGGGGGTGAGGAGCGGGGGGCACGGGGGCACCCCGGGGGCGGGCCGCGGCCCCGATCCTGCCCCGGGGGCCGAGCCGGGCTGGCCCCTCCTCCGGCTCGGCCTCCCGGGGGGCGGCGGGCCCCGAGCGCAGAGCGGCGGCGGCGGGGCGCTGCCGGAGCCCGCTCCGCCGGGCCATGGCCAGCACCGGCTCCGCGCCCGGGGGCGCGGGCGCGGGCTCGGGCTCCGGCTCGGGCTCGGGCACGGTGCTGCCCACCCGCTTCCAGGAGACCGAGAAGCTGCTGTCGGCGACGGAGGGCCGGGAGGAGAAGGGCCTCCGCGGCTCCAAATCCTTCACGGCAGCACTGCCCGGCGAGACGGAGCGCAACGGGCACGGGCTCGGCTACAAGTCGGTGTCGGTCGGGCACCTGGAGGCGCCGCCGCTCTCGCCGTCCCGGCTGAGCCTGGGCAGAGCCTCTTCCACGGCCACCAGCACGGCGGCCCCGGAGCAGGGCCGCCCGCGGGACTACCTGGTGCTCGCCATCTTCTCCTGCTTCTGCCCCGTCTGGCCCCTCAACATCGTGGGCCTCGTCTTCTCCATCATGGTGAGTGCGGGACCCGCCGGGCTCACAGACCCGCCCGTTCCCCCCCGGTTCCCCCGCCGCCCCCGACGGCCGCCCCGGAGCTGTCCGCGGTGCTGCACCGCCGGGACCGGGGCGCGGCGGGGCGGGAGGCGCCCGCACCGCTCCCGCAGCGCTCAGCCCGGGGCGCGGGGGCTCGGCCGGGCTGTGCCGCCGCTCGGCTCCCGCAGGGCGCTCCGGTGCGGGTCCGGGGAACGGAGGCGGGAGGAGGCGGGCGGGGAGCGGCGCCGAGCCCGGGGCAGCGCGCGGGGAGGCGGAGGGATGGTTGTGGAAAGGGAGGCGGTGGGATGGAGATGGAGATGCGGGGAGGCAGCGGGACGTAGATGGAGATGGGTGGGGGATCCCAGGGCAGGGCTCCGGGAAGCCCGTTGGCTCCGGGAAGCCCGGTAGCTCCGGGAAGCCCGATCCCTGCCGCCAGGCAGCGGTCCAGAACGACTCGCCGGGCTTTCCCGGGAAGGAGCTGCGAGGCGAAGCAATGACAAGGGATCTCCCTCCGCCCCTCCTAGCCCAGCCCTGCAGCACTGGGGAGACCCTGGCTGGAGGCTGGTTCCTGTCCCTCAGGCACTTCAAAGGGTCAGGTGCACTTGCAGCTCTTTTAGTTGCCCCGGAGAAGCAATTTTCTCCATTAAACATCCCCCAAACCTCTGCAAATACACCAACAGCCGAGCAGGGCAGAATGAAGCCAGCCAGCCTCCCACCCATCTCGGGTACAGGTGGCTCAGTCAGCACAGCCCTACAGGCACGGCCACCCCCTTACCCATCAGATGCTGCTCTCTTGTACAGCCCCCCCCGGAACCTTCTGTGCCTTTGATTTGCAACAAAGGCAAATCTTTTCTTTGAAAAATCATCTCAGCTACCTGCTTAGCACACAGAAACACACCGAGGGGCACCTGCAGCCAGCACTTCCCCAAAAACCAACAACAACTTGGAGGCAGGCACTGGCAGTTGCCACAGAAAGCCCTCTAGAGAGACCAATTTCCATTTTGAGGAGGAATCATCGTTTCTGCCAGTGCCAGCTGTCATCTGCGTAGTACAGTTGTGTGGCAGAGCCTGTTTAGGCAGCATACAGGGAAGCCAGCCAGCCTTGTTTGGCTTTGCACTGCAACGAGAGGGAAAGCAGCTGGGTATTGCATATCCATGGTAATAAACAAGGTCTCTCACGGGGATTTTCCAACCACATTAGCCTTCATGCAAAATAGATTCTCACACTCTCCCTTGCAGGCGTCAGAGCCTCCAGGGCAGTGGGGATGTGCCTTGGGCCACACGAGCCCCATGGAGTAGAAGAGAAAGCAGTGAAAAAGGAGCAGGAGTTAGTTAATCCTGCCAGACAGTGAGGGACTGGGTGTAGTGACTGTGTCACACCCAAAGGCAGGCAGGACCAACAAGGCAACAAGACTGTTTGGCTGCCCTCTGCTTCCAAGGCCCTTGGTCACATTGACCAGAGCTCACTCAGAGCTGGGGAAGGAGAAGCCCAACCCCAAAGGCAGAGGTGCACTCAGATGAGCTTGTTCTCCAGGACAAGGTCTATAGCACACACAGTTCACTTAATTTATTACTGCCCTTTCTAGTCCTGGCCCTGCCTACACCATCACCCCCTCCACACACCCCCACCTGACAGGCAGGGAGCTCCACACGGCAGCAGCAGAGCAGGATGAGGAGTGATCCTTCCTCTGTGCTGACCCTGGGGAAACAGGAAACATCTGTCTGGGTCCTTCTGCCAGCAGGAACAGCTCTGAGGGCATTGGCTGATGCTTTACCTGCTTACAGCAGGGAGCAATTTAGCTCCCAGTGACCCCCAGGGTTCCCACAGGCTTAATTTTTTTCACAGAGTAAAACCTGGGAGTGCCTGATCATGCACAAATCTGAGCAGGAACCAGGTTTTTGTGATTCCTGTCACCTGGGGGAACAGGAGGACCTTTCCACAACGTGCTGACGTTCCTTTAACTCTGCAATTGTGCCTTTCTTTCCTAAGTCAATGCTTTTGCACATGAAAGCTTTTTTTTCTGGGTAATAAGCATCCAGAGAGGAAAGCAAATGAATGCTTCTGAGTTTAGTGTCTCATAAATCATTTTCCAAAAGCTGCTCTCAGATCCCAGCAGGGCCTATAGCCAGAGGTGGAAAAAAACCCCCTGCTTTAGCCTCCAGCCTGTTCCTGCTAATGCTGGTCTTGTGGAAACGAGTTACCTGGAGGCTCCTCCACCAATCCCGGGATGCATTTTCTTGGCCAAGTGAGGATCTGGCTGCACTGTGGGGTTCAGGTCATTCCCCAAGCCAGAGAGTGGGACTGGTGGACACAAGGACAGCGCAGGCCCATGGGACCCATCTCAGAGGAGTGAAGGGCAGAGCTGGGTACCACACACACACACACACACACACACACACTGCATTTCTGCTGTGAGTCCCTTTCCCTTCCCACCAAAGTGCAGCCACATTGGGGGAAGGAGCAGAGAGGTCACAATATACAAAACTCTGAACAAATGAAGGGAAGTGAAAATACCCAGCCAGAAGAACCATATATTAGCATCAAGGGCAACCCTGCAAAGCACTTGGTGTCCAAAATAAGTGGTGTCATCCCCAAAAGATGTGGGAGAAGTTGGACTATCCTTACTCATTTTAAATGCCACAGTCATCTATATGAGCCTGGAGCTGACTTACTTATACCCCTCTTGGAATGTTTCCTTCAACAAAACACAAGTGTTGAAGATTAGTGATTTATTTTGAGTCATTGGTGGAAGGCAGCAAAGAGCACCCAAAGCCAGTTCATAAATTGGGAAAGATTGCAGGGAAGAGGACGTGATGATTTGTCTTCCCCATCCCTGGGACTAGCACAGAAAAGTAATTGCCTTCATTTGCAACAGGGTCACTTAGGGAAAAAACCCATTTTGAACAGTAACTGGAACAGATAGCAGTGGGAAACAGGTAAGATTAATAACTTCTGCAACACCCAGCCCTACCTGGCTCCACAGGTGCTGCAGTACAGCACTCGCTTCCAAGGTCCTTCAGATTTTCCAGCCCTGGGCTCTAACAGGAATCCCTTGGCTCACACACAGTGACTCACTCCCCCGTCGCCCTCGAGCCTTTCTGAGATGTTCTGCCTCGGCGGGTCTCCATTAATAAACAAGATGTTAATGTTTTTATGTGGAAAGCAAAACACAGGATTAGTGATACTAGAGAACTACAATCAAACTGTTCCACACCAATGAATAATATATGTACAGTACCAAATGCTTGCTAAACACCCCATGCCAATGCTGATGTGTTTTTTTGTAATTGTTCAGGATAAATGAGCAATAAACACTTGCAGAAAGCTGTAGTGATAAATACATTGAATTTGTTAGCCTATATATTTTCCCTAGAAGACAGCTAAAACTGCATAATTCACTGCAATCTAACCCACACCCTGCCAAAATATTACACTTGTTACAAAAACCAGAGCCTAAAGAGATAAATCCTCAGAGTTGGAGCTTTTAGTAAGCAGGGCAGGGATTCTGTCGATCCCTGGGCTACTGCATCCTCCCCATCTCTTGCCACCAACCCATGAGGCTTCATTTTGTCACCTCCTGTTCTGTCATGAAAATAGCTCTTGGCTGCATCCCATCGCTCTTAGAGCCAGTCTGGCAAACCTGCTGTTGAGACCAGGAGGAAGGAGGTCCTGAGCTCTGCTGGTGTCACTGGTGATGTACAGGGTGGCACTGAGTGGAGCAGGACGTTTGCAGGGATGCAGTGGAAGCAGTGGCCTGCCTGTTTGAGGCTCTGCTGTGTTATTTACATGGTGATACAAACTAAAATGAGTACATGGAAACCTCCAAAGCTGCATTTTTCCTATGGAGCAGCTGCCTGGGCCGGGCATGTTTTGGTCACGGTGCTGCCAAGAGGCAGTGGCATTAAAGAAGGATGAATGGGAAATGGGAGAGTAGCATCAGATATTTGTTTGTTCAGACTCTCAGTGATGTTTCATGGTTAGTGCTGGAGCACGACTAGGCCTCCTAACCCTTAATTAATTAATTAATTAATTAATTTAAAAAACATGTGGCAGGGGACCCTTTCCAGCACAGTTATTTCTGAGATACGCATTTTTTGAAAGGCAAGGGGGATTGCTTTGATCCCCTTCCACCTTTAACTTTTTTTAACTCGTACATTTATTTTCTTAACTCAGAGTTTCCCCAGTTTTAGCAGGCACAGCCCAAAGGGAGGAGCTGGCAGATGGCACAGGGAGATGCTGGCCCTGCAACCTGCCCCAGATCCCCTTCTCCTGACCCCTGGCTCAGCCAAGGCAGCACAGCTGGAGATGGATGGGGCAGGGGAAGAAGCCTTTAACCCACGTTAAAATGTTAAATACTTAAAAGCATCTCTAAATAAAAAGTAACTGCTCAAAGCAGTTGAAGTATCTAAAAAACCCTGTTCCCAGTGAAGTCAAGGGGAGTTTCACCCGACTCCTCCACTGGATTAAGGCTGCTGGGCTCCCTTCTCCCCCCATCCTGCCTCGCTTCCCTTTCCTCTCACTCCAAACCTCCCCAACCACGCATAAATATTACCAACAGTCCTTAAAACCCCTTTACCCAGTTTTCATCCCTCCAAACCCCCTTCCCAATGGGCTTCACGGGAGGCAGGAGGGCACTGCACGAATCTGGGAAGGCTTTTCAGCCCGGAGAGCCGGGCTGGTCGCAGCCCATCTGCCTCTGGCCGAGCAGGGAGCTCCTGCTCCACTGATGGAGGGGCTCCGGCCTCTCCACTGCACAGGCAGCAAATGCTGACGCACGGTGAGTAATTCCACCACAATATCCTCGCGTGGGACTGCACAGCTGCCCTCTGCTAAGTGCTGGGAGCTCCCTCAGCCAAGGGCAGGACGCCCAGCACACCCTTTCCGGCAGGATCAGGAGCGCTCCGGGCCCTTCTCTCAGCAGCAACGCTTCTCCCTCACCAGGAATTCTTATTTCCAGTGTTTTTTTCTCTCGGGAACCAAATGATTTGCCAATTAGAAGAGCAAGAAAGAAGATGGGTAATCACTTCCTCTGAGAGTTTATGATGCCTCTGTGTGTGATGTTTGTTGATGAGCTGTGCTTGGCCTTCAGGATGCTCTGTGTGGTTGGTGAGGGTGGAGGCTTCTCTATAGCCCAGCAGGTGCTGCTGAGCCCAGGGCTGTGAGCTCAGAGGGCTCAGGCCACAGCATCACTCTTGCTCCCCTGTCAGGTACCAGGCAAGGTTTTGCTCATCCAATCTTACATCTTTTCCCTTTGGGTGTGACCCCCAAATCCTGCTCAACCCACCCAGCCCCAGCTGCACTGCTGGACAGACCCTGGGGGAACTTCACTAACCCCCCAGAGATGCTTCCAGGGTCTGGATCTCAGCCAAGCTCGTGGGTGGCCATCCCTGAGTGAGTAGTGAAAAGCAAAATTTCGAAGGGAACCTCCAAATTTTCTTTTCCATTCCCTTACGTGGCCACTTGTGCTTGAAGATAAGGATCAATTCAGCCCACTGAAAGCCTGCCATAAAAATGCTGGTGCCCACCAACATTACGGGATCACAGAATCATTTAGGTTGGAAAAGCCCTCTAGGATCATCAAGTCCAACCATTAACTTAACACTTCCATGTTACCACTAAACCACATCCCCAGCTGCCACATCCACACATTTTTTGAACACTTCTAAGGATGGTGACTCTACCACTTCCCTGGGCAGCCTGACCACCCTTTCAGTGAAGACATTTTTCCTAATATCCAACCTAAACCTCCCCTGGTACAACTTGAGGCCATTTCCTCTTGTCCTATCACTTGTTACCTGGGAGAAAAAACTGGCTCCCACCTGGCTCCACCCTCCTTTCAGGGAGTTGTAGAGAGTGAGAAGGTCCCCCCTGAGCCCCCCCAGCTCCCTCAGTTGCTCCTCATCAGACCTGTGCTCCAGATCCTTCCCCAGCTCTATTACCTTTCTCTGGACATGTTCCAGCATCCATCAGCACCAGGCAAATCCTGCTCTAGCTCCAGCTTTTGGGGATCTCTCTTCATCCCTTAATGACTCCTCACAAAATGATTTCCAGCCACCTACTCGTGCCTTCCCCCATCCCACTCCTTAGCCCTGCCACAGCCAGGGAAACCCTGCTTTTCCTTACAGCACAGGGGAAAGCTCTCACTGAGCTGCCTGAGGAGATCAATAGAGCAGCAGGGGAAATCACAATGAAACCAGGACCAGAATAGAGAAGCTCTATGGACTATTCCTCCCCTCCCTACAGTGCACAAGAGAGCAGGAATTCACTGTAGGAGGACTGCATTTAAAAAGAGAGATGGCGAACACAACCCGCCTGTGTTGAAGCAGAAATTCAGGGTGATGCAGAGGCACCGAAGCACATCCCATCATGAGGGGAAAGCCAGTGGTTACCACTTGTTTTATCAAAGCCTGTTCCTCTCACACACACATCCAGCTCCAAAGGTACAGAGGCCTCATGCTGCTTTGGAAATGTCACTGCATTTTTGTCCAGTTTGTCAGTGCTGGTTAAACTCACAATATACATTGCTGCTCAATACATATGTTTGCAGAAGAAGAGGGAAGCAGGATGCTTGTCTGTACAAAAGCTGCAGAGGGTTGGTGGTACCCCATGGAGATGCAATTCCCCTGCACAGTCCCATAGAATTGAGCTGCTTCAGGGACTGCAGTCAAAAGTTTCAGGGTTTTCCATGAAAGATGCAGAGAGGGGCTGATGCTGGCTGGGGCTCTGCTGTGCCTGCTGTCCCATGCCAGGGTTATTTCTTAGTCACTCCAGCAAAAGACAGGCTTGAGTCAGTCCAGCTCCTACCCAGGGAAGCAGAGCAGCTTCCCAAATGGATTGTCCAGGCATTCCAGTTTATCAGGACCATGGGCTGTCAAAGCCGTGGGCTCACCAAGGGGATTCGCGTGTCATCCTGTAAGAGCTCAGGGTGGCAGGTCCAGCCCCTGGGGACACAGAGCTCTCAGTGTGGGGAGGTACAGCCAGGGAGCCACTCTGCCATTCTCAGGAGCCTCTCTCTGTGTCCCCCCCAGTCGAGGAACAGTGGGCAGCAAGGGGACACGGACGGAGCCCGGCGGCTCGGACGCATGGCCAGGCTGCTCAGCATCGTCTCCATCGTCCTGGGGACCATCATCATCGTGATCTACATTTCACTCAGCGTCAGAGGTAACACTTCCTTCTCTTTTCCACAGTCCAGCTAGAGCAGGAACCTCACGTGGCTCCAACCCAGTGGACAGGACACACCTGCCCACCATCCACCACCCTCGGGTAGATGGAGCTCCATTCCCATCCTAACGGAACTGGGAGAGCACTAAACCCCTGCAGTTCAGGCTGGTTTGACCATCACCAGCTGCACACACACATGCAAGAACAGTTCAGAGAATGGGCTCCTGGTAGTAACCACATACACTGTCCAAATGACCAGCATGGAAAGCCCTCCCTGTGCTGTCCACAGTGCTGTGGTGACCACACAAGATCGCCCTGGTGACAGGTTTTGCCCTGGCAAAAGCTGTGGTGGGTTTAGAAGAGTGGAGTGGGGTAAAACCAGAAGGGTTTCAGGTCACAAATCAACCTTCCCAGAAACACAATCCCAAAATGTTTGGGGAACCTCCCAAACACAAACCCACCTGCCAAACCAGCATGACCAGCACAGCTCAGGCAAGCAGGGGCCTCAGAAACACCCAAAGCCCAATCCGGGAGTGTAAGGGAAACATCTGTGACCATTGGAAGCTGCCCTAAGACTCTCTTTCTCTTCCAGTTTCCTAGAAGACGTTTCAGCATGCAAATACCTTGAAGAGGAGGAAGACAACTTTCCTTTTGGGGTTTTTACTTTCAGCCTTGCAACAAAAAAAAAATTGTCACAGTGTAGGTGGGCAGCCCTAGACAGCCTGCTCTGGAGCGCCGTCGGAAGGAACGCATGCTTCTATTCACTCTTGGAAATGAGTCTGTACAGGTGATGGGATAAAAAAACACCAGGAGAAGGAATGGGAAAGGCCATCGGACACCAAGCGGAGAGGAGAAGGGGGAAATCCACTACCTCATTCCCCTCCAGCAAAACTCACGGAGTGGGGAGACAACTAAAGTACAAGAGGAGGAGAGAGTTTCAAGAACGAAGCTTGTTTTAAAAGAAAAATCTAAAGGCGGGGACGGGACATTTCGAGGAATCCTCCTAAGGATTTTGGCACAAGTCACTGGACTTTTGGGGGGTTGTTGGTTTTTAAATCGTCAAATTCTCTGTCTCTACAAAACAAAACAAAGCTCAAACTGCCATCAGGAGCTGAGAGCTGTTCCACGAGGAGGAGGAGGAGGGAGGGCAGAGCTGCAGCAGGACCACGGCTCTGCTCCGCGCGGAACGCAGCCGCAAAAGCTGGAGGATGTGGTGGGTGCTTTTGTATTTTTGATGAAAAAAAAAAAAGAGACAATGACCATTTGCATGCCTTTGGGAATGTTCTCCATATCTGTTCCTACGAGCTCTTTTATCACTTAGGGCAGATCTCAGAGCTGGCAGAGCAGGATGTTGCTGCATGAGAACCCCAGGCTCCTCCTCACCCCGACCCCATGGTGGGCTTTTTAATGGAAGGAAAGATAACATGTTCCCTGTGAATCCACACATTTCCCTCTGTGCACCCAAAGGGAGGTGCTCATGGCACCCAGACAAGAGCCTGGTTAACCTGTAGCAGCAGCACCAAGGCACAGAGAGCACATTCCATCCACTTACACCTTGATGTCACATCATGACGCTCATGCAGAAGCTTCAGTGTGATCCAGCCCCTGCCACTGCTCATCTCCCTGACCCTTTGGGGCTTCAGCTTAGGGCCTTCCAGGGGATTTTCAGGGGCATGGAGGAGTTTTTAGATCCCTGCTCTTCTCCCTGCACCCCTGACGTGCTCTTCTGCATCTCTGGAAATCTCCAGTGTCCCCAGAGCTGTCCGGAGTCAGTTCCACAAGTTGTATTATTTTGTAATGTTTTGTATTTAACATAACAACAACATAGACTTTGCTCCTCCCACTCTGCCTATAGGTACCACAGGCCTCACCATGTCTTCCACACCACACAGCTCCCTTGGCCATTTCCCGTGGGATACAATCATGACACCCCCTGAAGCCTCCTTCCAGCCCCATCCCTTCTCCTTCCTGCTCACCCCATCCTTGCTGTGGGTTGTTCCTGGGGTTGGCCCTCTACCCATCCACCCAGACTATGCAAAGTTTCATTGCCTGTTGTTTTAGTCAGGCTTTGTAGATGACTTCTGGCCATGTCCACTGGCTCCCTATTACCTGAGTCTCTTTTATCCAAACTTTGCTGACACGAATACACGACCAAGAGCTGCACTCCCTGGCCTTTCTGCCAACCTGGGACCCAGAAATATGGACTGACTGAGAAATGTGGTCCTTCAGGGCACTTCTGCTCCCTAACATCCTGAAAAACACCCCAAACCTTCGACCAAATTTAATGCTTCCGAGGGCTTGTCTACATGGAGAATCCACTACACACCATAAGAAACTTCACAACATGGCAACTGCTTGGCACTGACTTCTTCTCTGGGCTGTGAATGGGCACAGGGGGTTAGCACAGGGTAGGGGTGAACTGTAAATCCACGCTGTAGTTACTCTGTAGTAACTAACGTGCAAAGCCACAGGCACGGCTGTGAAAATTCTCTTGTCCCCTGTTTGCTTGCTCCTCTTTAAAATGTTTTCTTTTGCTACACATTATTTGAATCCAGGGGGTGAGAAAGCCAAATCCCCCAGACATGCTGTTAACAATTTTCTCTACACTAAAAGGGATTCCAGGGACTCACAGCAATAGCACTTCACTACAGCACCTTCTCGGGCTCTATTCCCATCCACCCCTTTGCCAGCACTTTATTACAAGAAACTGGCTGCTAAAATGGACCAAATCCGCAATTTTTCTTTTCCAATTTATCTTTTGTGAGTTCAGCAAACAGGAGACCACTGAGGGCTGCTGGGTGGGAGCTCCCACCCGCATCCTCTGTCCAGGTGCCCCTTGGCACCAGACCTGTTCCTCCCAAGCTTTTCAGAAACCCTCCCTTGGACATTCCAACTTTAATCTTACGGCTGTTGAAATCCCACCAAATCCCCCACGTTTCTTTCTTTGACTCTTGAACCCAAAAGCTGCTTGCTGGCAAAAAGGTTTCATTTTTTTTGGGCTACACAAAGGCAGTGCTGCCTTGTCCATGCATCTTCTCCCTTCACCGCTGAGCTGCTGGAATTCAGCTGATGGGAAGAGCTGGGCAAGCTCCTCCTCAGGCAGGAAGGGCCGACGGTCAGGGAAAAGTGAGTTATAGGACTTGAGAGCACCAAGTGTTTATTAAGTAAGAATTTAAATGCTCTTTTATCATTATATAAAGCCTTTCATCTAAAGTGCTTTCCCTCACCCAAAGGATTAATCCCTGCCACCCCCCACGAGGTGGGTTCACATTACGCTGCTCTAATTGCACGGATGGCAAATGCTCAGTCACAGGCACCGAACAGCTCCAGAAACAACCACCTCTTTCCTTCTCCTCCTTAATAGAACCGTGTATGAACACGGATTTCCTTTGAACCTGATTTTTCCAAAGGGATCTAGACAAACTAAACCCCACTACAGTTCAAAATGGACTAGGATACCTGCAGTCAGGAAGGAGGTGGGTGATCTGTGAGGCAGCTGCAGTGGTCCTTGCCAGGAGAAGTCCCAAGTCAGGGAAGCACAGAGCAATGGAGGTACCAGGATTCCCCTAAATGCAGGAGAGGGCAGAAACATTCCCCAAAAACCCCATGGTGATGATTTATTGTGTGCACCCAGACAGAGTTTGTTCCTCCTGTCTCACCAGGCAGCTGAGGGAATGCTTCTCACCTCACTATTAAGCATAAAGAAAAAAAAAGAAAAACCAGAACACTTAAATCCCTTTCATTCTAAAATCTTCTTTCTGATTAGATACAACTGTACTGCACTCTTGAATGTAGCTTTTTTTCTTATCCTGCATTTAAATCCAGAGAAAAGCCTCTACAGTTATCCCTGACAAAATATTTCCTCTGCTCGTAACCTGGCTTTCCAGTGCTGGAGAAATAAACCCTCCAGGGATATCTGGAAAGTCCCTTCTCTCTGCCAGCTTCTCCACACATTTTGCAGCCTGTTTTGCAAAGGTTTTGTCACTTTGCTCTTCTCCACATCACACACAGTTTCATCCCAGCTCAGCTGCCTCTTTGGCTCTTTTGGGGTGGAATTATCTTGTATTCATGAAGGAAGAGGTTGCAGAGCCCCCAGCCCCTGGCACACACCTGACCTGTGCTGTCTTACAAGGAGGTAGATGAAGGCAGAACTCTGAGGCCACCAGCAGGCACGGTCACTCCTTTGGTCTACATCCAGGGATCAACAGCGTTCCTCGTGATTATTTGCTGCTTTAGTGCTCATCTTAATGCAAGCATCTCTTTTTCCATATCCAGGCACAGCCACTTCTCTCCTTAACTTGGCTTTTAGCACAGGAGGGCAATCACAAAAACTATGTCACAAGACCTTCCCTCTCCATCCCCACAAACAAACCCTGTTACTTATCTCCCAGCTCTTTCCCACCTGCTGCAGCCTCCTCTAAGCACACACGTCAGAGTGGAGTTTTCTGTGTTTGCAACTCTGACAGTCATGAAATCCTCAGGACCTGCCCAACTTGCACCCCCTGGTGAAGGAGAGGTAAGAGATCTGAGCAGTGTGGTGGCAATCCAGCCTTACCTGACAGCAAAGCTGAGCTGGTGGGAGGAGAGCTCGCTGAAGGGCTGGAGAAGGTGGGAAACGTCTCTAAATGTAAGCTGAAGTAGGAGTTACAATCGACAAGTGTGAGGTCCTGGTGGGATATAAATACACAGTTTGCACTGCTCGGGAAAGAGCCTCCGAACAGAGCACGTGGCTGTGGCACCTCTCTGGCACTGGTGGCCCTGGGCTCCTTTCCTGGGGTTTGGGGCAGAGCTGGGCTCTGTGGAGAGGCACAGAAGGGCCCTTGCTGGGTGCAGCAAGGCTGGATCAAAGCCTTAAGCTGAACCAGCAGTTTGCTGCTGCCGAGCAGATGAACTGGCTTGGCTTCATAGCAGCTCCTCGCAGGATGCAACAACCGAGGGTCAGGAAAGGTCTGGCACAAGTCAGTGGGTCACAGCAACACGCTGGCTGGTGCCTGCAGAGGAGACCAAAGGGATCTGAGCAGCAAGGGAGGAAAGAAAGCCAACAAAAGAGTTCAAAGTTTGCTGTGCTCATGATGGGTTTGCTTTTTCCGGTCGGTATTTCACCCTGTTCCAGTTTACCCCTCTCCCCCCATCTCTGTTGGTTTACTGTGCTTTCCCCTCAGCATTTCTACCCCTGGAACAATGTGTGAGTCCCACAGGCTCTTTCCTCCCATCCTCTGCCTCTCCTTTAACCAGGACAGGTCTTGCTGGCAATGACATGTCATGGCTGGGCTCCTCTGGAAGGGGTTAGCGAGGGCAGGGAACCTCTGACCTGGGCTCCCTGCAGAGCCCAGCACGTAGTACCTGACCTTCCCAACACACTCTTCTCCATGTAGACAAGGGGAGCAGATCCTGCCTTTTATAGAAAATTAAAACCCCATTTCTGTTCATTCTGAGCCCAGGAATAGGCTGCAGAAATGCACCCACTAGGCTGGCCCCATGACTTCTTCTTTTTTCCCCCTGATACCCTCACCCTTGCCCTACCACTTTGTTACTTATCACAGAACCACAGCCAGGGTTGCACTGTCAAGCTCAAATAATTCAGATTTAAGATTGTTTTTCATCTTTTAATTTTGGCAAAACCAGTTAGGTTTGGACTGAAAAAAACTCCCCTGCTTGGGCACAAAGCCAAGGGGGTGGGGGGGGAAAGCAGCCTTTTCAAAGTGGGAATATTTGTAAAGCATTTGCTGACACCAGTAGATAGCGAAATTCAAACCTATAAATACCCATCCAGGATAAGAAACATCAGAAAGGGAACGTGTGCAGGATTCAGCAAGGCAACCCTGATCCCACCTGGGAGCAGGGGCCCTTGTTAGATGGTGCCAGGACATGATCCTTGGTGTGGAAGTGCAGGGTCCATCCCCCCACTGCCACAGCCACCGTCCACACACCGGCTCCTCCTGTTCCAAATCCAAAAGGGAAGAGCCACCATCCACACACAGCATGAACACACCAGGAACTGCAGCTGGGTGCTTCTCTTTGCTGATAAATGTTTCTTTTTCTGCAGGATGGTATGGTATATCTTATATACTTTCTTTGTATTTCTTGGCATGAGAAAAAAAAAATTAAAATGTAACATGCATGGTCAAAGCTGAACTGGTTTCTTCTGTCTAAATGAGAAAAAAAATTATCCAAACTACTCATTTAACTGTTGCTTCACACTCCAAGAGCAACCAGTTGGTATTTTGGGTGCAGTGGGCTGCAAATAATATGTACAGGCAAAGAGTAGAAGAAAACAGCACAAGTCAGAGCAGAGAGAGGTGCAGAGAGATCAGCCTCGTGCTGCAGAGACAGGCAGCACCTCGGGAAGCACAGCTATTGTGGGAGGTCTCTGCCAGCCAGAGAAGGAAATCAACCCTCCTTCCTTGCAGGGCACAAGGACGGGATATGGGGAGCAGTCCCTGGAACTGCTTCTCACACAGCCCTGGCACTGCAGGTCAACAGCCTGGTGCCCAGCCAAGAACAAATTCCTAATCTGCTGGAAAACCAAAACTATTGAGCAAAAGCATAGATTTCAGGGTTGCACAGCAATATTTGGTTTCCTCTCACAGAGTCTAAATGCAAGCAGCTCCCAGGAAACAGGCCCTTGCAAAGTTTCATGAGCCAAGGGTTGAAATTCAGCTGTTATCAAAACCACTGGCTGTGGTCTTTTCCCAGGAGGAGTTTTTCCAATCAGACTGGAAGGCTGTTGACTGTGTGTCACACCCACCTGGGGTCACTACCAGAGTTTATTTGTGTGTACCAGCACACTGGTCAGTCAAGGCTACTGGTCCTTATTGAAGCTGAGGGACACAACCCCTTCATTCAGCTGAACCCCAACTCTCTCCTCTCGCTGTGCATCTCCGGCATCCTCCGGGAACAAATGGCAACACAGCTCCCAACCCAGCCCAGCCTGGAGAGAAGACTTGCCAAGTCTGCAATGAATTAGTTGTAGCACACAGCTCTCTGCAGCAAACACTCAAGCTGTCCAGACTTCAGCACGGGGCAGGACTTACCAGAGGTAACAGTCTCGCAGCTTCCTGAGGACAATTCCTTCGCTCTCCCAGCGAAGCAGGACACACATGGGGAGGCAGGTGCCACCAGCAGCAGCAGGGATCAAAAGTGAAGCTTTGTGGGCCCTGACATCAGGCACAGCACTTCCACTTTCGTCCCTGTCCGTGATGGAGAAAGACGGATGTAAATCCTGTGAGGTTGGCAGGTGCAGAGTGATTCAGCAACAAACGGATTTAATGGCCCTGCCTGGAGCACATCCTGCCCATGGAGCACATCCTGCCCATGGAATTCCCCCCAAGGCAGGGGCAGGTCGCTTCCCACTGAACCAGCCAGAGGCATCGATGAGCACTGAGCCACCAACACCCAGGGGGGCCCTGACAGAGCCCACAAAATAAGTCATCAGCAAACACTGCAGGGGAACAGATCCAGCTGTGGGATTTGCTGTGCCCACGTTTTGGAAGTGGTTTTGGAAGTGGTTAAAGCCGTGTTGGTGAGGCAGAGAGTGAACAGACCCACCTCTGTGGTCCAAACCCCTCTGATGTGACACAGTCAAGCTTTGGCCTGCCTGTCATTTTGATAAACGCCTCTTTGTCCTTCTTAAGGATGCAAACTGTAGGGGTTTGGGGGCATCGAAAAATGAATAAATAGGAAAAACCTGCAGGTACTCAGAGAGGGTGGAGATTAAATGTTCGTGAGCTCACAAAACCCAGATCTGTTATCCTCACATCCAGCTCAGAAGCTGACCAAAGGAACAGTAATTAGTCCTTCTAGATCAGCTGCTGTCCACCACACAAAGCCCAGCCCCTATAAGCCAGGCTCAACACTGGATCTGTCCCAAAGGTTTCCTATGGATCAGGCAGCCCTGGTACATCACTGCCCAAGCAACCAGTGAGACAGAGCTGCTCCACAGCCTCCAACAAACCAGCAACATGCTCAGCCTTCCTGTTTATCCCACAGCCCTTCTCTTACACTACATTAGCCCCCCTCCCCAGCTCTGCAGCTCACTAGGGCATTTTTAACAAATTAAGACTATTCCTTTGGTGTGTCCATTCCCCATTGCTTTGAAAACCGTAAGTCTAATTAGATCTGCTGGGTCTTACCCCTAAGCACCCTCCCCCTGTAACACCACCTAAATCAGTGCTCTTGATGTTTAGTTTCCCACCCCAGGGCTCAGATAGCAGCTGCTCAAACCTCTAAGCACTATCAGCCAAGATTAATTACTCACAGCCATGCAGGTCCAAACTTACACCACACCACAGCTACTCCTGTTTTACACCAAGGCTGAACTATGCACAAAGCTCGTGTTACTCAACTGCAGCATCTCCCCACTGCCTCTGCTCACCCAGCAGGGCAAGAGCCATCACTGTCTGCACAAGGGCTTTGGCAACTCAACTGGGATTACAGGGCAGGTCCAAAGAGCCACATTTATTTGTCCTGATGAAGAGACAAAATGTAGATGTTTAGGAAGTCCAGTGTAATTTCCTTCCCACTATCCAGCAAAGCAAAGGGGATTGTGGTACCTGTGCATAACAAAAGGCTGGGATGGAGGGGTCTCGGTGGGGAAAGCTTTCGAGGAACAAAAGCCATTTAGATCCCAGCACGTGATGTCTGAGGTTGCTTTAAACCGTCTTTAGCCTTCTTTGTGTATTGCTTAAAGAATTCAGCAAGCAAGGAGATTGAGCAGAAAAAAAGCAATGGTTTTGTTCTGGAGGAGGAGGATTTGACTCACATAAACCTCCCCACCACGGAGAGATTCCCCTTCAGTGGCGAGATTCCCCTCGGAGCACCCTGACCATGTCACCGAAGCAGCCGGGCAGATGCAAGTTCCAGACTTCAAAGGCAGCCTGGGCTCTGATGTTTCGCTAAAGAGGAGGCAGAGCCAAGTGCTTTAGCTCCTGTTTTATTAATACCCTGCTCTGATGGGCTCATGTATAATAGATTCGCAGAGGAACAGCAAGAGGTTTACATCCAATTTCCATGTTGCATACGTTTTCTGCTAAACATTGTAGGCTCTCCCTTTACCTCTCAATGTTTGTCTTCACTAATGAATTTGCATGAGTTTGTGGTTCAAGCAAAGGACAAAAAGTTGGCCACCAGTTCTTCAACTGGTTTCCATGACTTTGCTCCAGTCGGGAGCTATGAATTAAAAGCACAGGGAAAACATTTCCATTTTCTCTCTCACTCCCAACACAGGCTGCTGTTGAGAGAGAGCAGCTCAGGGATTCCTTGGGCTCGCTGAAAGCCATGCAGAGCCTCTTGGGAAGTCATTTGGGAAGTGCTGGAGCCAGAGCCCTGGGGCAGCAGCATGGTGCAGTGGCAGTGGGAGAGCTCAGGGCTGCAGAGGTGCAGCAGCGAGTCCTTGTGATGAGCAGCACACAAACATCCTGGCTCTGGTGCAGCTCAGCCTGGTCTGCAGAGATGCAACACCCAACACCGGGCCAAAAAAGAATGGATTGCACCCCAAACTCCCCCCTCTGCTCACAGAACAGCTTCTTAGCTGCAGAGATTTAAAAAAGATGAAATTTAGATACGTGGTTCCCTGAACACACTCCTGGTAGACTCCAGTAAAAGAGCAGAGAAAAAATGAATTTGACTTTGTGAGGGTACCAAAAGACTCTGTTTTCCTATTTTCCTACCCAGATCAAGCAGATCTCACCCCTTTACAGATGAAGACTCTGCATGTTTCCTCCAGTTCACAGCTGTCACCGCTCCCGTGCGAATGCAATGCAGCAATGCAGCCACAGCTCCTGCATCCACACAGAGAGACATGGAATCAGGAGTGTGGCTATCACAGAATCATTGGAGTTGGAAAACACCTCTAAGATCATCCAGTCCAACCCAGCACTGCCATGTTCACCACTAAACCATGCCCCCAAGTGTCATGTCCACATGCCTTTTGAACGCTTCCAGGGATGGGGATTCCTCATGAGCTTACTTGGTAGATGTTTCTATCACAATCTCAGACTCATCTTTTTAATCGGACAAGACATATTTGACAGACTTTGCAAAAGTTTGGATTAGATGGTGAGGATCTAGGATTTATATAACGGAGGAGAGCCTGGGAATTGCATCAGCAGATCAGGGCACTGCTCTAAACAAGGACCTCTCCTTTACTGCTGGATCCTTCGGAAGATGAAACCTCCTAGAACACCTAAAATAGAGAAATGGGGATTTCTCCATGAGCTAAGCTACCTAGTTTACATGCTAAAAAAACCCAACCAACTGACAACTGCTGGCCCTCATTGTTTCCAGCTTAGCTGTGATGTGAGATGCTATTCTGGGTCCAGAGCTGCAGAAAGCTTCTGAAGCTTGCAAAGTTGTTTGCTTTAATAGCACACAGCGTGAAACAAAGCAAAGGCTTCCCAGCAAAATGCCTCCTTCTGCTGAGCTCGCTGCACCTCGCTGCCGCTTGGAAATGTTTAATTATAGGCTACGGATTCCAAAGCATTTATTCCAGTTATCTGGTCTCAGGTACAATTTAATAAAACCTGTGTTTTATCCTCCTTCCCAGCAAGGTTTAATGCAAACAGATCACTTTGCCAATTCCAGATGGGCAGGAAAACAAACCAGCACCTCATGCCCTGCACTGTTATTTGTTACTGGTCTGCAGAGGTACACAGGTACACAGCAAGCAGCAACAAAACAAAAGAAATGTTGGTAAGACCTGCTGTCCTTAAAGCAACGCTCTGTTTTTACCTTGATGCTTGACTGCAAAGCACAGAGTGGGTATAAGCTGAAGTGCCCCAAAAAACGAGTGAACAGCTGAGGAACAGCTCTTCCTCCCCTGCCCAGAACTCCCAGACCACAGTGAGCCCAGCACTCACCTCCCAAGAGCATTAACAGCACGACAATTGCAGCAGGAATTTGGCTGCTGAGTTAAGGAATATCTTTCCCTGAGGAAGCACAGGAGAAGCTCATTCCCCTGGGATGTGGTGGTGGTTCAGGGTGGCCAACACCTGCCATGGCAAAGGCACAGAGATGCTCTGCTGGCACAGACTCAGCTGACTCCAGGACCTCACGTGTTCAAGACCACACAGACATGGGCACCTGAATGAATGAAAGAGATCCAAACAGCAAAATCCCCACAGCAACATCCTTCCCATCCCTCCTTTCCCCTCCCAGAGGCACCGCAGCACAACTCCACCTGAAGCAACCCTGAAGCATCAAGACTTGATCATCCCCCAGTGTTTGTTTTTTATTTTAAAACAATTTCATCTAAGCCAGAGCGTGGGCTTGAAAAATTATCTACATTTCCTGAGATGTTTGGAAACAGAAGAAGAGCTGGCCAGCAGATCCCTCAGTCCTGCTGTAAGGAACACACACAACCTGAAGGCACAGTCGCTACACGAATACAAAGACCTATTTATGTTGAGAAGGCAGAGACACACCAGGAATGGTCTCACTGCAGCCCAAGTCCCTCCAGCCTCCTGCCTCTTTCCAAGCTGTATTTCTTTACATAAGCAGTGCATGCTTTTATAGACCTGACTCACAAACCTCCCCACCTCAGTAATATTTTGAAGTAAATTTAGCACTGGTGATACACGCCTGACCTAGAGGGAACTCCATTTAAAGCATGGCAGGGAAATATCCACCTATCCCCCCCCTTCTGCACTTGAATGTTCTCCTGCATCCAGGAGACAGGCTGATGAAGTCCCAAGGTCAATCCAGCCTCCCCTGACACTGGAAAGTGGGGGGAAACTCATGGAATTCCCCACTGGTCCAGCACCACAACACAGGTACCCACCAGTGTCCAGTGGGGACAAGGACCTTGCACGGTCCAGTTACTTTTTAATGTAATAAATTATGGTTCGTGTTAAAGCTGGACCTGCCAGGGACACCTGATCAGCACTTTCCCAGCTACTCACAATTTCTTTTTACACCTGCAATATTCCTGAGCATCCTGCAGAGTCCTAAGAAAAGGTTCTCTTAAAAATCTGACGTTTCAGCAGCATTTCACCCTGAAAGCAGCCAGCTCAGCACAGGTCTGGAGGAAGAGGGATCTGTAGCAGATGACATGCCCAGGGCACAGGTACCAGCAAACATCTTAGGGAAGTTTCCACTGTACAGCTGGCAGCTCAATGGGACTTTGCAACCTGCAGCGAGGAGCTTCTATTTTCAGTGCAGCTTTAGAATGACTAAAAGAGTAATAATATTGTTCCCACTTCCAAGAATTCCGCATCATACGGATGGGTATGGGCAAGGAAGATAAGAAAAGAAACAGAACAACACCTAAACCCTACCTATTTACAGCATTTGTGGGAGAGCACCATGCTGTGCTCGTGCACCAAAGTGGTTACCAGTGATTTTTCTTCAGGTGTGGCTTTGATTGATAAGCTTCAAGTCACCCTGGACTTCAAAGTAAGGATGGATTTTTTTTTAAAAAAAGAAAGGAAAAATCATGAAACCAAAAATAAATTCGTGTGTTTGAAATGTCTGGTTGAAGACAAACACCCAGGAGGGAAGTGAGCAGAACTGGATGGGCAGCGAGCAAAGCAAGGCACAGCAACACAGGATGTAAGATCTAAATGGCCACAATCGCAGGAGACCTCTCAAAATCACACCCCTGGCTGACAGAGGGCTCACAGGGTGCAGGAGTCAAGACAACCAGAAAATAAGCCACGATGAGAGAATTGCAAATGCCGTTTCAGAGGCACAGACACTCTGACTGCAGCCAGGCTCCTCCTGCCTTACTCGCAGCGCTCTCAAAACTGGGTTAGCAAAGCCTCAGGGTCCCATTAGGAACAAAGAACACGGAGGGCTGCGACAGGGAAGGACTGAGCCAGGGATGAGCAGCAGCACACACGCTCCAACAGCCTCAGCAGCTTGCAAGGAAGGGGAAGATGAAGGCAACAGCAGGCTCTGAGTGTTTAATGAGCACAGCCCAGATGCCAAGGCACGAGCGCTGGCAGCACAGCTTCTGTACCTGGAGATGGTGGATAAAGGGCTGGCATTCAGGAAACGGGAATACCCAGTGTAAACACTGAGGGTTTGCTATTAAAACAGTCAAAAATCGAGTCCAAGGAGCTGCACATCGCCCACGTTCAGCAGAAAGGGGGAAAACAAAGACACTCCTGTCTCTCCGTATGAATTTCTAATGGAGCGCTCGGGCTCCCTTTCAGCAGGAAATCTGCTCATGGAATGGCACCAGGACTGAAGGAGCAGAGCACGGCTCATCCATAATGCAGGAACACCCACTGTGCCGGAGCCTGTCAGGAAGGACAGCAGTTTTCAATACGAACAACAGGATTCTGGGAGGCGGATGGTTAAAAATATATATCGTACGCCTGTGCCACTATAAATTATTGACTGCACAGGGAGCTGGAAAAAAGGATTCAGTGCCATTAATAATTTATTTTCTAATCCAAACGAAGATGGAATTTTATGCACCACTTATTACCAGCGCCACAACTGGAGAAACTGCACTTCCCACTGTCTGAAATCAGAACTGCCTTTCCATTTCCAGAAGTTTTTTGAAGTTTCTTCTTTAGCTTGAAACACGCAGTCAAAGCTTTCCCTTGGGAAAGCATCTGGTCACTCCTGAATATTTAGCAGGCATTAAGGATACAGAAATGTATCTCTGCTTTAAAGCAGCGTTACAGGCACAGCACGACAGCTCTGCCAGGAGAAATCCCTGTCTCCACTCGGAGGCTCACGCAGACAGACGGGTATCACCTGCCAGGCAGCTTCGCTGGTCTGAGAAAATAAAACTGAGTGACACTGAAAGATTTAGCATTGAAATATTGAGATCTTTACAGAGATTGCAAGACCCCCAGGTACAGACAGATCCTTCAGGCACGTTTGAACACCTGAGGAGGGAGGTGGAGCAGACCACAGCAGTGCTGGAAAACCACAGGGTAACAAGGCTCCTGTTTGTTCTGAACACAGAACTTCACAGAGAGAGATTTTTAACACTTACCTCTAAAGAAAACCATCCTTGTTCCACTTGCCAAAGAACAGCAAGAATAAACATCATGACTATAATCAACCCCTTCACAGGTAGGAGAAGATGAGTCCAGGTTCCATCACACCAAGCATTTTGGGTCAGGAAATGCTCCATCACCTCTGATATTTGGTATAAAACTGCAGAACACACTAATTGATATGTTCAGAGACAATTCTAAAGTGGTGAAATGAATCTTCTCTGCATCTTCCCTAAAGCTTAGGTTTAAGCAGATTGTCAGTGGGGGAAAGAACCAAGCACCTTGCTTAGAATTCTAATTTATTATTAAATTACATATCAAAGCCTTTTTGTTTAATACATATAGAGAATGCACAATAGGTGAGAACAAAAATAGTTACAGTTACAATAGAAGTTCCAAGAAGGTATATGAAAAGAAAAATATCAGAAAGTGCAATCAGAAACTCACTTACAAGGTCTGGGATATTTTGTGAGAAAGGGTTTTGTTTTGGGTCTAGAGTGTTTATTTAATTGCTTTCCTCACTCAGTACCAGACAGACCAACAGCTGCTTCTGTACTCAGAGCTGAAAGCATCACCACTGGTTCAGATATGCAGTGACAGGAGAGGTGCAGGGCACAGAGATGTCACCTAGAAGGAGGCTCAGTTTTGGCTCAGTGTGTCTCTCACTGCAGTCTCCTGTCCTGCACGTTGCTCTGAAGGATTTCATAATTCAACACTGCCAAAAGGAGTTTCAGAATTATTTCCTCCTTCAGCAGTGACACAGCTGTTACCTCTCCTTCCTGTTTCTAATGAAAGCTTTGGGACAAAAAGTAAAAATAGGAAGATTATGCATCAAGTGATCTTGGGAAACAAGTTGCTACGTTTAGGGTTAAAACAGTTGTGACTAAATGAGCTGCACCATCAGAAGTGGTGGACCAGCCTTGGCAGTAGTTTTGGGAATGCAGCACCTCAGGGGACACAGCCCTGGGGGACAGGCTGCCAACAATTTATCTGACACTTTCACATCACTTAAAAATCCACTTTTGCTCTTTCGCTTTCAACATCCAGCGAGGAACTGGCTCTTCTCACAGTAATCGTAAGACCATTCAAAGAAAGGACTTCTAAACTACAAATGAGAACTCTGGTTGACATGAGAATCCAGCAGGAATTTATCCCTCACTTCCATATGCAATACTCCTGAAATCAATACTGGTTCAGAAAAGATGTTGTGGCTTCCCAGGAAGGGCCAACTCACCTCCCCAGCAGTGCCTGGTCAAAGCCCTGCCTGCCCCTCACTCCTGCCCTGCCCTGAGGAGAAGCCACAGCTGCACCCCAGGCTATGGACACACAGAGCTGCTGCCTCAACACGGGGTTCTGGGGGCTGCCCAAAAGCCACTGCCCTGTTCCAGCAACCAGAGACTGAAGATCAGACAAACAGGTAAAGAAACAGCCTAAAGAACATGGGTAAAAACATTCCCATCCATGGGAAGCGTGGCAAAGTTATCAATACCATCCCTTGTGTTCCAGTGCCTGGCCAGCTTGGAAGTAGCTGCTTGTGTACTAGGAAGAATAAAGCAGAAATATAAAAACAGTGTGTGTGTGTGTGTGGGAAATGTGCCCTGCAGAAATATTATGGATTTTCTCCCTTCGTTTCAATGCTCAGCAATAATTTTCTTAGCACAGTTCTGACTGGTTGAGTTACGAAACTGCCGCTCTGGCAGGAATTGCAGAAATGAGAATTCTTTAACCACATCTTTTTTTTTTCCCCTTAGAGCAAGAGGAACCACACAGAATGAAAAACTTGGAGGACACATATTTAGCAACAGGAGACACACAAACCTATATTTTGGGATTTGAGATTAAATACTATAAAATCCATTGTTTTCATTTTCCAGCCCATTGCTCCGACCACAGGTCCAGGATATTAGAGATGAGTTATTAGGCTGATCCTCCTGAATTAGCAAGTCTTTGCCTCAGCCAGATGCAAACACACACTCCAGGGAGCACAGCACAACACCCGCTCACACTGCCAGGGGACTACAACATGATGATGAAGGGAAAACTCCAAGGGTAATTAAATGTCTTTTCAACACAAAACTGACTCAAAACCAACACAAATAAAAACCATGGAGGGGCTGCCAACACCGAAACCATTTCCAGTAAAGCTTTATCAGAGATAATTCAGCACATTTCCATTATTTTATACTAAAATATATCAGTTCCTCCGTAACATTTTCATAACATGAAAAATCAATTATGTTTACATATTTATTATAATCTACATATTTCCCATAGCAGCTTTTTCACACAATAAGATTAAATATATGCACCAAATAATCAGTTAAGTCCAGTAAAAAGACTTGTTATAAGATTAAATAAATGAACTTATTTCCGGTACTGCAGATCTTATATTGCCGACTGTACAGCAACCAAATCCTACAAATCCTAAACAGATGCACAAGTGCTGATCAGGGTCCCTTGGGGTGGAGGAGGAATCAAAGAAAAGGCATCAGGGAGAAAAGATTTGATCTCCCAACACGCAGATCCAGCAATAAACCTCCTTTATCCATCGAGCTCTTTCATAAACCCCTTTAATAAACACTTCAGCTCCAAGCAGGAACACTCCCAAATCAACCAAATAATCACCCTTTATTTAAAATATAAGCCCCACAGTTTTACATGTATTAATTCCAAATGCTTCCTAATCCCAACGATAGGATGACTGATTAGAAGCCTTTGTTGACTTTTTAGCACAGAGTTATTAGTCTGCAAAGAAGCCTCCAAATCCAAACATTCTGGGTGTAACAGTGTGGTTTTACACACTACACAGGCACAAGTTTCTACTCCCCCCAACAGGTACTCACTGACACTATAAAATGCAGTAAAAAATTGCATCTGTCCCGCTGGACTCTGTTCCAGAGGAGAACACAGACACTGTGTGACATTTGTGGGTGATGGCAAACATGGAATCTGTTAGGAGCACTGTCAGTGGATTGTGAAAAAGAGTTAATCAAGTTCTTAGAAAGATATTTCAGTGCCTCGGCCTGAATTCATTGGGTTATGATATGAGAGATGGAAAAGTGCTGTTGAAAGAGCAGAAAAATCCGTTAACTGGGGAATCTGCAACGTCAGAGCCACTCCTGACGTCACCTTTCTTTAGGGACACGAACACAGCAGGAATCTTTTTGCAGGTCTGGACCAAAAAACATGTTTTCTTCCCCAGGTAATGGTAAGTAATACTTGTTTCACTGTTCATACATTCAACTCTTTACTAGGAGGAGTTATGTCCAAACCCTTTGCACAAAGATATGTTTGCCTCAGGTATAACCATCATAATTTTCATTTCCAATTGACAGTTCAGATTATATCCTTCTTACAGTGTAAAAATATCAGCGTTATCAGAACAACTTTACCTAAATTACAATATAGACTTTGCATCGTGTCTTTATAAAGACCTTTATGACACCAGCCAAAATCAAAGTATTTACACCCCAAAGATATCTTTAGGTGAACTCATGTTTGGTCACTTTTCAGATGACTGAACACCAGGGTAAACAGCTGCTTGGTCACTGTGCTCCCTTTTCACAAAGGGGGACTTGTCAGTCCCTTTAAAGCCACAAGAAACCTTATGATCTCCCCTCAGAGGGTACTTTATTCATATTCTGTGCAAAAAAAAAAAAAAAAAAAGAATGTAACAACCCTTCTTTTTTTAACTTCGAGGAATTTGTGTGAAGCACAGTTTTCACAGCACGGATTATGCAGAAATAACCAGAATCTCAACCAGGAGTTATAAAGAATTACAGAAACATGTATTTAGTAGTAAAGCAACCTGACGGCTTAAAGCTGCAATATTCTTCTCTCAGGGTGATAGTGTTCAGTACTGGGATTGGATTTCAGGGAAACAGGCTTCCTGCTGTTTCCACCCAAGGCAAATTTAACAACAATCCTTTTCCACTCACCAGCCAGCACCGGATCTCCTCAGCACCGCTGAGCACTCAAACTGTTCTGCCAGTTCTGGTGAGCGTCCTGTATTTACTTACCTTGCAGGGAGAAAGGGAACTAAAGACAAACAAATCCCACCAAATTTAACCAAAGATGTGTGTGGCAGGGAAGGAGAAACACTGCAGCTTCAGCCCAAACCCAGTGTCACAGTCTACCATCATAAGCTCTAGACATCATGCTGACAGTCCCAGCCATGGAGAGCAGGCTGTGGAAGTCTGTCGCTTCCCCCACTCACTTTTCCTTGACTGGGAGGAGGGAAGGTGGTGATGAGTTTTAGCAGAGTCCAGGGGGGAAACATCCATCAATGGAAAGCATATAAGAGCAGTAAGATGGTACAGACACCGATAACGCCGCCCAAAATGAGGGAATCTCGTCGTTTCCGAAGGTTGATCCTTTGAATCAGGCTGTTCACCGCTGGAAACCGGTCTGGGAGGAGTCTGAGTCAAGGTCATACCCAGCAAATAGCAAATTCACTAGCAAGCCTTAAAAATCTGGATGTGGAAATCCCAATACTGCAAGAAATGCAGAATTACTCCCAAGCTGGAGAAAGCAGGAGCAGTAAAACCTGATGGATAGTGAGCAGGATTACAACTGTGTTCACTGATTACAGACCAGCAGAGAAAAGGGAGCAGCTCAGAGTTCACATTTACACAGAATTCATCACCTGATCACCTAAATCACCAGTGTTTAATGTATTTAATCTCCAATATGTAAGGTTTAGTTACTTTTAATAATTGTGTTTAAATGAGAATGGAAAAAAAAATGGGGCAGTTACATAAAACGTCTGTGGAATTTCTTTAATGGAATTCTGTTACTGGTGAAGGGAACAACCAAAGGCATTTGACTGAGCAAATCCTGCACTTTTCATGGCCACACACTGTGCAAGTACAGCACATAAGGAAGAATTCCTACTGTAAAACCATGAGGATGTAAATCTATTTTTTAACTGAGAACAGGACAATCAGCTTCAGAGCTTCAAGTCTTTAGAAGCAAGAATCTTTTAAGGCCAAAGGCTTATTTAACTCTTTTTGGTGTTCTTGTCAATTGCTAAGAACTGTAATGAAATTTATGGGTTACCAAGATTTATCTCTCCAGGACGTGATGAGTCTGATCAAACGATGCCCTTATGACAGAAAGGAAGGAATAAGTGGGAAAACAACAAACATGCATGATTTGACAACCTGGTACATTCTTTAGCCATGGCACAGAATGTGAAGAGAAACCAACACCACAAAATTTTCATATCTGAAGGACTGTGACAGACAAGAGGAACCTCAGGTCCTGGATACTCTTAGCTGTGAACCAGAGCAAGCAGTGATGTACAGCAAGCTTCAGCTTTTCTGAAAGCAAAAAGCAAGAACTGAAATGAAATTACAGTTCTACAGAAAAAAATGCAGCAGGGATGGCCATAAAATGCTGTTGCAGATCTCTACCTGAAAATTAAGCTCCGTTCTGCAGTGCCCAAATCTGAGCAAAACCAACTTATTCACCACATTCCCCATTAAGAAGCTCCAGTCAGGTTTTCAAATGAGACTGGTGAAAAATTGGCCTGTTTGCCACTAATGGCAGGACAGGTTACACAGCCACTGACATCCCTGATCCCCACATGACAGAGTGAAAAATTGTACCATAACTCTTCTTCTGCACTGGCAGCACAAATTTTTAGGAAAGGATACTAGCCAAGGTATTCATCTTGCTTTGTATTGACTTCAACATCCCCCTCTGCGAAGTCATATTTTCTTTAGTTGCCATGGCAATGCTGGAGAAAGAAAAAGAGGATCAAGTTGTTGGTGCTAAGAATAATCCACAGCTCAAACAAGAGGAGAGCAAGCAGGCAACGCTTCTTTGGAGGACAATGAATGAGGTGAAGCAACATGAATGAAAGCACAATTTTCCCATTAATCTCGATCTTTTACACTTAAATGATTTCTCCTTTATATAAGCCATCAACAAAGGAAAACACTGAGATTTCTTGAAACAGGCAGGTTTGGCAGATCTCCTCCAGCCCCAATGAAAACTGGTACAACCTTATAAGCAATATAAGAATATTGCTTAACTCTTAAGCAATATTCTTAAAAGTATTAACTCTTCTGGCTTAAGTTTTAAATTTAGAAGTTTGTTTCACCCCAGAAGCCCCATACTCACCTTCACTCTAGAGAGCACATGAGATTTGTGTGCCATCAGGATACAATGGCCACACAAGTATTATGTAAATAAGAGCTGCCTCAAAACTAAAAATCAATTTGCAAAGCCAATGTGCTGCTTGAGGAGAAGTAAGAGCAGACTGAGACACAGCTCAAGGAGCCTCCCTCCAAAGGTTTCTGGACAACCAAGCTGGGACATGCAGCCATCAGGTCTTTGAACATGTTTAAACACAACGAAGTGTTGGGATGTACTTGTTTTGTCTCAAGATTGATGCTGTTCCTTGTTTGCAGGTGAGTGGGCAAAGCTTGGATTCTCCTGCATTGTCTCTTCCCAGCAAGCCCAGCTTGACTGTTTTCCATAAGGTGGAGTTGAGGGAGCTGATGTGAGGTCATAGCAAATGATGCTTCCACCACAGAACAGATTTGGTCACATTTCTGAGATTTAGTCCCAATTACAAATATTCTCCATGGGTATATAAGTTTCCATTCTCTGTTTCTTTACCAATACATGCCCTAGTTGCACATATTTTATCCAAATACAAGAACACAACACAGGTGGAACATGAACCAGAATTTTCCATTTCAAATTTAACACATTTGAGAAGCCAGAAAAAAGCAGTTGTGATCTTAAAAATAAGATATTAAATGAAGATTAGAAGGAAGTGCTCATCTGACAAGTTTGGGCTCTGGATACAGTGATTAAGGAGGAAAAATATGGCAAATACTGCTCTGCTTGCTGGCATGTGTTTCAAAAACACAAAGTAGGACATAAATACAACAAGGCTGGATCATAACTCAGAAAAGTCACCTCTACTGCTGTTGAGTTTATCTACAGTAATAAAAATGATTAAAACAAGTTCTTGGACAAGTTTGTGAGCCTTAAATATGGAGGGGAAAGGTTCTGGAAGAATAAAAGTAAAGTGGAACCACATGATACAACAGATATAAATACAAGAAAAGGGAATTAAAGCTGTAATTTCAGAGAACAGGCAGGAAAATGTAAAATGTTGATTTTACCCGATACAGACACACAAGTTTTTAATACAGGTACTTTAGTCCTCTAAAGTAAAAAGCAACAAACTCACAAAACCACTACACAGCACTCAGGGAATTTGGAATTACTAGGAATCAGGTTGGAAAAAAGAAAATTTCCTATCTGCACCCAGGAAAGCTTGTTCAATAACCTACAGCTTCTTAACTCCCACCCCCACACTGACTTGATGCTTGTCCAGATGAGGTTTTAATAGTGTCTCTCAAAGCACTGCTGGATTGAGCCCCCTATTTTTATAAGATGCATCCAATGACTCATTGAGACATCCACTCATTTACAGAAGTGAAAATACAAGATGATTGCCAGTATATAAAGTGATCCTGAGCCACCTCCAAAATGCCTTTGGAAATAATTATTATAGATGATGATGGAACACAAGGTTCCTGCTTTAACATCTGAGGAGTGAGACTGTTCATCTCACAGAAAAAGACAGGATGGAATGGCTTAAGTTTATATATTACAAGACTGAAACCATCTTCATTTCTTTCATCCAAAATTTTGAAGAATTTAGCTCAAAGGGTTGGGTCTTACTGAAGAGCTCTGAAGAAAAAAAACTGGAGTAATTACCATTTTTATTATGACACGGTCTAGTAATGAAATGTAATTTTGATATCCATGAACAAGAGTTTAACTGGATTCTAGCTACTATTAATAAGCCAAAATTCAAGTAAAAAGCACTGCTGTTCATGTATAATTTGATTACTCAAAACACGAGCTGGTTTACCTAAGCCTCTAGATTTGTAAAGCAGATTATTAAATTTAAGAACCAGCAAACACAGAGTTCCTGGGGACTAGTCCAGCGATTGGTCTTGTACAGTCTCAAGCACTGCAGCTCCCTCATATCCTTCATCAGACAGTTTTGGTTTCATTCCCATCCCTAACATATGTTCATTGACTTGCTGCTGAAGCCATTGCTTCACTGACAAATGCATGTTTTAAAAAATTCATCCCGTTCTTCCCATTCACAATATTGGCCCCGTTTGGTCGCTCAGCACCGGGATCTCCCCAGATCACCACGACCTTCTTCGGATGTTTTGTAACTCGCACGCAACATTTACGATAAAAGATTAAACGTTTCTTCCTGGAATCGAGATGGCCCTGATTTAACATTTCACTTGGAAACCAGCATGAACTGTTCTCAGAGCTGCACTGGCTGGAACTACTAGAGCTGGGTGTAAACCAAGTTTCTAAAACCAGATGGTATCTGTGCTGCTCTCCATATTTAATATTAAAGCACGGCTCAAGTACAACATTCAAGGCTGCTGCGCTACTGGAGAAACCTCTTGTAGGCAACCCCAAAGCCAGAGCCATAAAACACCCACCCATCTCTTCCCCAGATCAGCAGCAGGATCTCAAATTCCTGTGCTTGCAGCTGTATTTCCTCAAAATTTCACTCCCATTTCAGGTTTGCCCTTGATTGTTCAGCAGTGCTGTGGGTATGTGAGCAACCACATTTCTCTCCAAAGGTAAAATAACTGATATTTGTACATAGTTTGCTGTTTTCGCTGGCATAAAAACACAGAGTAATAAACACCTCCAGCCATTATCCCAGTTGGAGAAGTCTAATGTGCAGAGATGCACTTTTAATGCTGCCTCACTTGGAAGTGTTTTGACTCAGAGAAATGTTGAAGCTGTCGGTGTTTCACCCCACACAGCCACATCCATCCCGTGTGTCACCGAGGCAAATGTACCACAAAATCAGCTCCTTGCTTCACCCGTGGAGACACATCAGTCACATCTACACCGATGAAGAACTAAAACAAAGCTCTAGGAGAAGGAGCCATGTTATTAAAAATCAAATAATTCATATATTACTGAAACTTCTGCTTCATTTCGTATGCCATGAATCATACTTGCTTATTGAAATTCATGACAAGGTCTATGATTAAGGGAATGGACTCTGTGACTGTGCATAGAAATGCAAGCTCGAGCTTTAATTTGGTAAAAATTCTGATTGCATCACTTATTCTTTGAATAGAGCTATATATATATATTCATATCTTTAAATATGCACATGTGTGCGTGCATCACACACAATCTTTCAAATTACTTTAAAGACTATTGTGCCTTTTGATGAAGCCTGAGATGAAAACAAAAGGGTAAAATGCAAGTGATTTTGCCTGGACACTCTGACAAGGTGCTTCTGAAAAGAGAGAAGACTCAAGAGAGAGAATAAAAAAAGGCTCAAGCCTCTCCATTCTGAAAATTCAATGCAAGTGAATTTTTTCTTTTATTAAATCCTAATTATAACCTAAAGAAATACTACCAATACATGAGAAGACGACTTTTTAAAAATTAAATCTATGGTTTTGGTCTGGTTTCAGTCCAATCTGTTAATATACAAACACTGACAAATCAGTGAATGAGGCCTCAGAAACAATATTACAATAAACCCCTAAGAACTTGTCAAAACTGTACATGCAAAACCATAAAAATTCCAACTTGAGCCAACATAAAAATACAAGTTGTTAGAAAACAAGAAATAAATCGTTTGCTATTTTGGAAGAAGTGATAATGTTTGAAAATGAAAACCTGAGAACACCAAACATATTAAGCAAAATCTATGCTTATATTTAAATCTGGCCAAGAGAAGCGAACGCTGTTCCAAAAGAACTGCAGTACAAAGTATCACATCCCACTCGCTTCTGGGAAGAAAATATGCTGCAGTAAGAACCCAGGCCACGTCATTCATTTAAAAAATTGATTAAAAGTTTAGTGATAACAACACATCTGGAGCGACAGCCCTGCTCATTGCTTTAGTTGCTGCACCATTGCAGCTCAGGTGCCCGTTTATTCCCTTGCAAGGACGTTTGTTCTGTGGAGGAACCACCCAGAGAATGAGAAAAGCTCCTCAGTTCTCTTCTCCCCAGAAAATCAGAGCAAGGGGGTCACAATTAGTGGCTGTGGCTTGTCAACAAAAGCCTCTGCACGCACCAAAATATGCTTTCCAGTGTTTAGAATCGCTGCTTAATAACAACCCCTGAAGAAATAAATGTGATTTCTTGACTTGCTCAATTAAAAAATAAGTAATGAGCTGCAGCAGATGTAAACCTTGAAGACAGAGCAGTATGAGTAGCCAGAATTAGCTAATTACATCTCACTTACTCAAGGAATCTGCACTCAAACAGCTTCTCCTGCACAATTCCCTCTTTTATTTGGGTTACAACAGACAAAGCAAATGATCAGTTGGGTAAACTTCCATCTGGTAAATTCACTTAAAACCAGCAGGATTTACCCCCAATTAATGTCATACCCCAACACTTCCAATTACAGGGGGGCACAAGAAAAAGAGTAAAATAAAAAACTCACCCTGTTTTCAGCAGGGGTGGAATTGAATTAAGATGATATAAATGGAACTACATTTCCTGCTCAGTGTAGTTGCTAAACAGGCTCTTTTTGTACCAAAAAGAAAAAAGTGGAATATTTTTGGCAACAACTAGAGCAAGAAGTTCATTTACTATAGATAACAAATGATGCAAGGGTGACAGCAGCAAATAAGAAATCCAACAAACTTTGTGCATTTTCAACATGGAATAGCAGGGATACAAGCAAGGAGAAGTTTTTAATGAGGAAAAGACTAGAACACAAAGTAAAACAAATACAACTGTGCTGTTTGACAAGCATCTTTATGAGGCTGTGGTGGGATTGTATCCACATTTTCAGACATAATTGTACTGAGTACTTCTGGTTCACCACTGCACACTAATGTGGTTTAACACATTCTTCCACCACGTTAATTATCCTGAGCCCACTGTGTGTACTTAAGCCAGCCAGCCCCTAATGGACACAGAGCCTTGCTGCACCTCTAATTACTCTTTTTGATCACTTATGCCAGTACATGCATTATCTGAAAGCATATCTTGCTTTTTTTCTTCCCTTTTCTGTTTTGGTTTTAAAGCAGTAATCTAAAATTTAAAACCATTAAGTTGACATTATTATTACAGCCTGAATTATTGGTTTGCAAAATTGCAGAGTTCAATGAAGACTGGGAAGGGCACAGATAATTTATGATGCTCCAGTTCTAAATTTTCTATTTCAGTTCAGGGAAGCTATCACTCAAGTATTGGAACCATTTGAAAAACCCAAAAGATAAATATCTATATAACAGCAATAACCTCTCAAACACTTGTGGTAAAAGCCACGTTACCTGTCTCAGCTGCACACTAAGGTGCTGGATACATGGAAGAACTACAGAAAATCAGGTTGTAAATGAGTGTCACTGTGAGAAGAAGCATCTTCACTACTGGAATAGCCCTCAACAGCCCAACCTGAGACCCACTCTGCTCCAGAGGTTATTCACCTTTGCACAGAAACACCAATTTTCTAAACTAGGATTGATAAAATATTTAAGCCACACCGTTAAGTCAATATCAAATAGAAAAAACCCAACCCAAACCCTCCACCAATTCATTGTAATACTGCTGAGGAGTTATAAATAGTTACTGCATAAATACAGTGACTGATATATTTAGACACAATTCAATGTAAACATTGATTGTACAGAAAATAATGAAAATTTTTAAGTTAATTCCTACCTTATTGTTTCTTCTATCAGTCGATCTGAGCTGAAAGCCAAACAAAAAAAATGAGGTTAAAAAAAGCAACAAGCACTAAGTGCCATTTTAGATTACTAATCAATGATCGTCATCATACAAACCTTAATAAATTTGCCCTTAGAAAGTTTTATTTTTGGATGTTGTCACATTTTGCTACTACATAGATTTGGTTTATATATAGTCTTTGGAGAAGATGCTCCTAGTGTTCTCTGGAGCAGCATTTCCTAAGTGTGTGCAAGAGCAGGTGCTCAGGAGAACACGTAAAGCACTGAGGAGACAGGAAAAAGGGAATGGGCACCATGATTGATGGGAGGCTGCTTGGAAAGGAGTATTAGAGAAAGCAGTACCTAATTTTATTGCTTTTTAATCCTGGCCATTCCTTTCCAACCCTTCAAAAAATGTAATTAATGATAAAAGCTGAGACTTGGATCCATCTCAGAACCTCGTTTCAGGGGTGGTTCAACGAACACTGGTTAACGAGGCAAATTCTTCCTACAGCACCAGCAGTTGGATGAGAACTGAGTGATGCCCATGGGAAGCAGAACACACACCATGTGTAAGAGAAAGACCTTGATAACCCTGCCCTGCCCTTGTTTTCAATCGAGTTTCTGTGCAGCATCACCGGGAAAAGGGCAGCTCAAAATACAGCCCCAGAGGGAACATTTCATTTACAGAGCGGACGTGCACGACAAAGATGACAAACAAGATCCTCACAAGACTGGAGCTGTTTCTCTTTTTTCTGTACTCAACTTATAGGCAGGGTTTTAATCACTGTTTTGCAGCCAGTTGTGGAATGCCAGAGACACATCTCTTGTCAGAGCAATCAATATCTCCAATGTAACCCTGACACAGAAGAGGTGGCTGCATCCCTGTTTCCCGTAGTGTGTAAACAATGATTCATCCCCACAATTGCTCCGTTTACCCCACAGATTTATACAAATTCTTGGAAAATAACTGAAAAAATAAATAAATAAAAAAGAGAGTTTGCAGCTTGAGAAGGAAACCAACCTGACATAAAGCAGTTCTATGTTGTACTGGATATTTCTTCCAGTATTAAAGCAGAATTTACTATTTTCAAACTAAAAGATACTAGAAGAGCATGACTGCCTTCCTCTCCCACCCTCCTCGTTCCAAGTGTTTTCCACCTTGGAAGGGAAGGTACCAACAGGCACAGCACAGTCCTACCTCTGACTCAGCCAGAGATTTGGAGCTTTTCTTCTACCCCCAGGAATTCTGGGGATTCCCCTCCAGCTCCAGCTGGAAGGGGTGGAAAACTGCCCCCGGGGGGGGGAAGGGGAGGCACAACCAGAGTCCCTGTTTGTCTGTGGGGAGGAGTGAAAACACAAAGGCTGCTATTTCAGTCTGTCCATGGCTTGAAACATGGAGACAGAACAGAGCACTAAAAATAATTTTGCCCAATTTTAAGTTGAGAGGGACTCAACCGGGGCAGCAAAGAACAGAACACACCTTTCTGCTCCCCAAACAGAGCCACACTGAAGATTTTCACATCAGCCGCGAGCACATTGGGTTAATCAAATAAAGCCACTTTTATTCACTGTGTGGTGTTTATTACACTGGCACAGAGAAGTAAAATACCATAGCTGTGTACACAGAAGGATGTGAGCAGTCTCACAGCATCTCCTGATGTCCCCAAGGCAAGCAGAACACAAAAGTAATGCATTAAAGATTTCTGTAATCGCTGAGCCCCCAAGACACACAATTCAGCTGAGAACGTGCCTTTCATAGATAGTCTCTAACAGACAAGTGTGTTAAGTGGGCAGTGCATAATAAGAATAAACTGCAAAAGCATCAGAAAACAGCCTGAAAAGCAAGAGCAGAACACAAGAATTCATTATTTTAAAAGAGCTCTGATTTTTTTTTTTTAATTTATTATCAATGAAAAAGTATCTGAAGCTTTGCTGGAAATACGTTTCACTTAAAAAAATTCTGTGGAACAAAACATTGCTAGAACAGCCCTATCAAAAAAACCTGACTTAGAAAAACCATTACCAGCTCATCATTTAACTGATGAAATTAGAGAATTTTCATGTTGATGAACTGAAGATGACAGGGAAGTTGAACAGTTTTACAGAGCTCGAGCGAATTAGGATGTTCTCCAAGGTTTTTAGAGCACAAAAATTAGGATTGCCAGTTTGCAGCAGAGACACTCATTGCTTTTTATGTTGGAGAAAGCTGCAGTTGGGCAGTTTTATTGCTTAATCAGAGACATAAAGAGTTATTTAAAAGCTTCAGATTAAATTATACTGCATTATTTTTATATGTATGTGTGTGTACCTTTATAGACATATAAAATTAAATGCTGGAAATATAACTACCTGTAAAATTATGACAGAAGTTAATAAAAATGTATAAACCCAGACATTAGATTCAAATGCCAACACAAGGCATTTAACAGGCATCTGAAGCTACAAGATTGATGTTTCTCAGCTTACTGGACATCACCCCAACTATTTGAAAGGATGAGATGCACATGATTTTTCTTCACAATGACTGACGTGCAGGTAAGGGCAGACTAAATTAACTTTTAGAGTCTTAAATAAATAGCTGGGAAGCACAAAGATTTCCTAGACATAGCTCACAGTGTTCTTCCCACCCTGAGAATCATCAGCTCTTGAGAGGATCTCCAAACACATCTCTCCTCACAAGCCTCCAGCAGGTGAACAAACTCTACAGAAAATGGCAATGACATTCACTGACATTTTGGTAAAGGTTGTCAGTGTGAGCAGGAACATTTTAGGGATTCTGATGTGTGGATTTTTACCATCAGAGTTCTGTTAAGTTTAGTTCTTCCTGTGAATCAGTTCAGGGAGATGTCAGAGGCTTTTCCAACGTGCACTCACGCAGCATCCCTTAAAGTCTTTAAGTCTCCTTGGCAAACACAGACTGTAAAGTTCACTTACAGTGATACCCAAACAGAAGCAGCTGTTTCATCATTTTACAGCTCATAACCATAAAAATAAGTCAGATTTAAGGAAGATCAGGAACACGAAGTACAACAGAGCCCGGGGACCCAAGGGAAGTTGGCAGCTTTCTGGCTATTAATAACCTGTTTTACACAAATAGAAACTGTTCTTACAATTACAAATGTTCATTCCAACTGTTTGTCAGAATAAAAAAAAATACCACTGAAAGAAGTAATTTTGCTTAACTTACACATTCAAAACGCTACAAAAAGAGGCTCTTAGAAAAAAATAAAAAATAAAATCTACTGACTTTGTTCTTCTGCTGTCCAAGCAAAGGCATCAAATCCAGTGGCCATCTCCTCGTGAACATCCAAGCAAGCAAACAATGGTTCTGGGCACTATTAATCTGACTTGCCATCTGTTTCAATAAGCTCTGCATTTTTGCCTGTCCAGACAGACAGCACTTTGACAAAGCCATTTAAAAATACTACAGGAAAGAAACTCTGGAAGATGCTGAGGCAATCAGCTCCTGTAATGAATGGCACAAACCCAAGAGCAGCAGCAGCAGCCACGCACATGAAATAATCAGGCCTCTGTGCAACTGCTGCCTGTGAAAGATTGCACAGTTTGTCATTTAAATATGAACACAGGTAAATGAATCCCAAGGAGAAATTAAGTGAAATGCACCCCCAGGATGGAAAAGAATCCTGCCCATCACATCAGGCTTTTACAATTAAAGGAAGTTTTTTATGTTCTTGGGGTTTTTTTTAAAGCAAACATCTACATCAGTTAAATATGATAAACAGACAGAAGTTGAATAAAATTCATTAATATAGATGAATACTTAGATGAGGACTGGCTTCTCCCATATCCATAGATTTTGCTGCTGACTTACCAGCTGGATACCCAAACCAAGCACTTGTCAGAGGAACAAGATACAGCAGCAAGACTCATCTGCACACAACTCATTTCACAACGCACTCTAAACCCTTCAGATGAAATTAAGGGCAATATTATCACATAGAATAATTTAAAAGGAATAGGGAAAACCCTGTAGAATAAACTAATATAGCACTTGATAACTATTTTCTTCCTTTCATAAAGAGTAACTACAGAAATAATAATTTTACTTTGTTCTTTCTCTAACTGCAAGATCAATCACCAGTCCCTGCTCTCTCAAACTGCCTCCAATAAATCTTTCATATTTTCACAGTCCTGGTTCACCAGGCAACGTGGAGCTTCCAGGAATGCAAATCCTGCAAGACGTACTTGATTCTCTAATACACATAATACAGGTTGTGATGAAGCAAATCTGACACATCCAGGCAGTTATTTCCATCATCATGGTCATAATAACAGAAGAATAATAATGAAAGAAACCCTGTGCACACACACACACAAAAACCCATCTCCAACTCATTTTTTCTGCTTGCCATCAGCGTTCCTTATCGTATAAAAATTCAGGTCATTAAGCTCTTAAAAAACTTAATTAGAAGAAGGTAATGAAGAACACTTTTTTCCCCCTGGGATAACAAATAAGATATTCTAGATTTTATAAGACTCATCTCAAACTTGATTTAATTTAACGTGAACGACAGAATTCCACTGGAGCTGCTCTTCTAATTTGGAAAGGAATCAAACCGAAAAGACAACACAAATGTGAGCATTAAGTCAATGTATAAATTTGCTCCAAAGGAACAATATGTTATTAACAACATCACCCCTACAAGCTCTAAACACCTAAGTGAGCTTAGTTCTGCAAATCACTGTACTGGGGAGTCCAACACTCAGTAATCACTTCCCATAAGAATGAGGAATAGGTGCAAAAGTGGGAAAGAAAGCAGCACAATACCACGTTGCTTTTAATCAATGCAAGCAATTTGTTAAATCTAGAATGAAAGGCACTGGAACATAATCCACTGCTCCAGGCAAGAGTAAACTAACGTTATCTGGTGACAAGTTTCTTTCCAGATGGTTCACATGTACCTTGTGCAGGAGGAAATAAAACACACAGAAGGGAAGGATCTGCCAAAAGATTTCCAGGAAAATAATATGGTGAAACCTGCTCCCTCCAACTGCAATCCT